TGACCTAAAAATAAACTGGACAAAAACAAAAACCATATACAATGAGCTAGTGGAAGTCCAAGATTGTGATGATAAACAACCTTGCAGTTGAGACAGTAGACTATTATGTATACCTGGGACAATTAATACATAAATCTGGCCTTACTCCGAAAAATCAACAGAAGAATAAAACTGGATTTGGCATCTTTGGCACTCTACCTGAAGAAAAAAGCATTCGACCAGTGTATACTACCAATCATGACTAACGGCTGCGAAACTTGGACACTAAAGAACGAGATAATAGCGAAACTCAAAGTCACTCAAAGGTGAATGGAGCGATTCATGCTAGGTATAACAAAGATATTTCGAAAAATTTTGAATACCATGGATCAGACAGAAAATCAAGGTCACCGATGTAATCCTCAGAAGTAAATCTTTAAAGTGGCAGTAGGCGGGACATTTAGCGAAAGGAATTGACAATAGATAGACCACTAGAATTACACTGTGGTATCCAAGACTAAGACAAAATAGTCAGGTGCCTTCCTAATAAAGACAACAAAAAACTAACCACCAATGAGTACGAGTAATCATGTATGAGGGCGTAACACCTAGTGTTAGGACAGGTGTGGGAGAGACTGATAGATTTCATGTGAAAGTAGGATTACACCCAGGCTCGGTGCTTTGCTTAGTCCTCAATTATTCTCATTAGTTTTGGATCAAATAATAGCAAAACATATTAGGATAAAAATAGGAGTATTTAGAATGTTCATTTAAAGATGGAGTTACTACAAAAAAATGATACCTTTGGATGGTAAAATGATTGTGCAAAGTAATAGTTTTAAGTACCCAGAATATGTATTTTAAAGTAATGGGGAAAGAGATGGAGATACATGCTGTAGAATTAGGGTTGGATGGATGAACTGAAAGGAAGCGTGTGGTGTGTTGTGTGAGAGAAAAGTTCCACTGAAACTGAAGGGAAAATTCTATAAAAGAGCCATAAGATCAGCTACGATATTGGGTAGTTAAAAATAAAGAGCACCAACGAATACAAGTGGCGGAAATGAGAATGTTTAGATGGATGAGTGGAGTGACAAAAATAATAAAATTAAGAATTAGGGCAAGTCTAGGGGTGGCACCAATTGACACCAAAATGAGAGAGCATAGGTTAAGATGGTTTGGTCATGTTCAACGTCGAGATGCTAAACACCCAAAACAAATAATTGATGATCTGTGGGTTCGTGGAGGAGTAAGACAGGAACACCAAAGAAAACTTTAGAGAGGGGGAGAAGCTTAAACAGGACATGTCCGTATGACCCTAGATAGACAAATGTAATTAGAGAAGCCGACCAGTCTAGGGATAAATTTAAAGAGAATGATGATGAAGTATTTAGCTCAACCAAATAATATTTTGATGTTTACAATCAGTCTGACATTTAAAGACATTTATTTATTTCAATACTTTCCTCAGCATAGGTCTGATAGCATAGCATAGGTCAGCATAGGATTAACTTTGAGATTTTGAAAGTAGTTATGGCAATTATGAATTGGTTTAGCTAAAATATATACCTACTAAATTTGCTTTAATTTATTTCACGTTTTTTTTTTACCAAACGATAAAAGATCAGAGTTAATATAAATATCAGTCTTTACGTCCCTTCCACTACTTAAAGGCCAGTAAAAACGTTTTTGAAGGTTCTAAAATGTATATGGATGATAACTGATAACAAATCCTTGAAGACGTACAGCTGATTTTGTTTTTTTTAACAATCATAAAAAGTGAAAAAATCGTTTTTGACTATAAAACGTTTCTTATAGATTTTAGAGAAAAATAGTTATAATGTTAATAACTTTGTTTTTTTAATATTAAAGTTACATATTATAAATGTTTATAAGTCAAGAAGTCCTTTTTCAAACGATTTTTTAAAAATAATTTTAATAAAATGTTGACATTTTTTAATATATCTTAAAATTAAAGCCTCAAAGAATGGATTGCGATTTGCTAAATACCACTCGAGTCACTGCTTGAGCAAGTACAGTAGTTTAAATAATCGCTCTCGGGGAAAAACAAATTAAATAACTAACAAACTATTTGGTCGATCTAGCTGAGATGAAGCACACTTCAATAACTAATTAATTGCAATAATTTCAAGTAGTTATGTTACATGCCATTATTCAACAAACGAAGTTAATAAAATTGATAAATTACTGCAAAAATTATTGTTTTTTGCAATTATCTCGATCAATTGTTTATGTATTTTAATTTTGAAACTAGTAAATTAAATAACTTTTTAAGATCTACAACTTTTATTTGAACTATTTTTCTCTAAAATGTATAAGAAATGTATGTATCAAATTTAACATTAAATGACATTACATTTTGTTGGCGTTGTGATGTTCCAACCAAATCTGGAAAAGGCAGTTTTTTTACTATGTCGCCTTCAGAGACACAAGAGACTTCCTCATCTAAATAGACAAATTTGTTTCCATAACTGTTTTTAAATATTTGACCATGTATTCGTCATCTAAAACCTCAACTATCTTGGCAACTTAGTGTGCAATATTCTTTTTATTGGCCAATTTTACGAGAACAAAATCACCTTCTTTTAACTTAGAAGAGCTCAGTATTTCTTCACTTTTCTGTTGCTGTTATGAATAATTTTCAGTTTCGTGTGTCAGAAAAGTTTCTAAATCCTCGTCACTTGAATCCTTTGTTATATTTTTCATCTCTTTATCAGATTCATCTGAACTATCGCAGAGAACCTTCCTTTTGACTGACTTTGGTTTTTTCACCTTACTTTGCAATAGTTCCTGTTTCTCCGGAGTGTCTGTCAAAATTCGTGTTTTACCACGCTTTCGTCCCTTTTGAGAAGTCTTTCGAGCTACGGCTTTGGGGAATGAGCGCACTACAAACTGGCTTTTAAGTCAGCGTTATTTGTCTTGTTATCATTAGACTGCAGTGGAAGTGCCGGTACCAAGTTTGATGTTGATGGATTTGCGGATAGTTGAAGGCTTGATGAGCAAGATGCCGTATTAGGATTCTCTTCTGATTCTGGATTTGGGCGATCTGTTACATAGGACGACAGATATTCGTGGTCGCCAAATATATTTTCATTAACAGGCCATATCCCTGTTTTTTCAAATCCTTTGACAATGTTTGACAGGTGTAAATGCTTTTGCAAATGCCTTACCTACGAGTTCAGCTACGTCATACAGCTTATAGGACGTCCAGGATGGGCCATCATCCACTTATTAGCTATGGTGTTGTAGTAGGTTTTGTATGGTCCAAAAACAGTCCTGTCAAGAGGTTGAGTTCTCTGCGAGGTGTGTGGCGGCAACGTTAATAGCAATATTATTTTGCTTCGCCAAATCAATCACAGAAACTGCAATATGGCACTCGTGATTATCGAGTATTAGTAGCACTTTTTCTTGCTCTCTCGGCTTAACGTGGGCTATACAATGCTGCAAGTAGTGTAAAAAAAGCTTCTCGTTTGACTATCCTGATGGATTTGCGCGTCCAATTGAACCCGGTGGTGCACAATGTAACATGTGGTCCTTGAAAAACACGCGAGGGAGTATCAACATGGGCGGAACATGGTTACCGATGGCATTAACCGCAGTAATCAAAGTTACATTGATCCCTCTTTATCCGGATGTTATACTACCCAGTTACTTTACACCTTTTAAGGCTATTTTCTTAGGTGGGACATGGTCTGAAGAATTCCCGGTTTCATCTAAATTATAGATATTGGCAGGGGAAAACTTATAGCGTGACATTACTGTTTTAAGATTGTTGAAAAGAGCTTGGATATTTTCTTTGTTAAAACTGGTTGGCTTGTAGCCTCGGGTTTCCTTAACTACAATTTTGGATGTCGATTCATGAAGTGTCTTCACTAATCCTTGCCTGCATTTGCATTTGAAGTCCGATTGTCTGGTGTTTTTGTCTTGTTTTCACGTGCGTATTGAAATGCTAATATTCTTGCATCTTTTTTTTATGAGTCCATAATGAAGCGACGCTGCCTGTATCAAGTACTGCTCCAACTGTAACTAATATGATTAGATAAGGTTGATCGACAAATATCATATTTTTTGGCAGCTTGTCGAACCGTAATCTTATTTTCGAGGACGTCTTCGACAGATTTCTGCAAAGCACCTACATATGTCTACACTTTGTCTCTTTTTATTCCACTTTTGCTACGTGGCATTTTTTTTGTGAAAAGTTTGGTGTCAGTTTACTTGTTATTTATGTAAAAAAGCATTTAAGTTCAATTTTGTAAATTTCAATCACATGAGCGATGAAAATTGCCTTAATGCCGCGGTGCATATTAAAGCAAAGCGACCACTGAGCTTATTCTGATTTGAAAATTAGCATAACGTTAAAGCAAAAACTCTTTCGAACACAGAAAAAACAACAATTTTAACGACAGTGTCCAGAGGTACAAGCGCCCAAAGGTACAAAACTTTCCCCTAGTTTAAAAAAAATAAAACAAATCAACTATACGTGTCGCCATCTATAACTGACATACGTTTTAAAACCTTTACAAGCCTGCATAATATTTTAAGTGAAAACGACGATTATTTCACACATTGATTGGGGTATTATTGAAGTTGAATATAGTTGTATTTCTTCGTTATATTATTATAGTTATTTGTTATAGTATTAGTTACTGTGTGTACTACACGAAAATGTTTTTTTAGTAGATGTTGCTTAGATTAGTAGCTCGACATGCTTTATGGTACCGCACCGTGAAATATGCGTGTTTGTTGTAACCCGCAGATTAAAATTTGATATTGAAAATTCCTCTCCCTATAAAAGAATGATAAAACTATACTAATATTTATAGTAAATTTTGAACTAAATTTTAAAAACTATAAATATGAACCAATTCAATATTCTATGAATTTTTTTATTTTAAAAATTTGTAATATAATATCTATGCTGTTCCATATTGTACTTATCACATATATGAATAGTAATTGTGGGTGGTGTTTTTTGGGTGTTATGGTAGAGAATAAGTACATACCAGGCAAATTTTCTCCGGCCCCCGAGACAAATTGACGTACTAGGGAAGAGAAGAAAAAACGCAAAATATAGGTACAATAAGATAAAATTAAGTGGTGATTTATTGGTAGTGTGCGGGCTTTATCACCCGTGACCACCTCTAAACTTTAAGCCAAATTTCAACAGTAACTTGAGTCAAATCATATCATAATTAAATCAAAGCTACAACATCTAAAAATAATAAAAAAACTAAATATTTACTGATTAGAGTAATCAATAAATAAACTGCTAGTATGTTTGATGTAGTTTGTATGTATGTTACTGTGATTGTGGCATTATACAATCCGTTATACTAAATCTAGAAATCACACAAAGATCAAGTCTATATTTTCAATCTTACCAATATTGGTACTCACTTTGGAATTCTTATCTATAACTTGTTTATTATAATTAGGCGTTGGAGTAATTTTCTAATAGCGCCTATGACGTCGAAACCTTTTTAAAATAAATAAGGAATAAAAACATATACCTTCCTCAAGTCCTGTCAAAAAATCTTAAAACTACCAAAGTGGAATTTTTTCAACAAAAATAATTTACACTGTCCACTTTTCAAGAAATGTTAAATATTAAAAGTTTAAAATTGATTAATGAATTTGATATCACCATTTTTTTTTTCAATGAGATAAACGCAATAATAATTTGAACAATAATATAAGTACGTAGTGAATAAGTCTGTCTTCAGTGTATTCAGATCCATTCATAGTGTTTCTACTATTATATTATTATATTATCATGTATACCGACATTTAATACACATTACAGCGACTCTTCCAATTTCCACAATTACAATTACACAAAGAAATTAGAAGTGAAGTGCCTTTTATATACAAGATGTCAAAGGAACTGGTCATAAATTATACCACCATTTTTACGGATGAACATAGTCGATTTGGCCTAACTTACCTATATGTAAAAGTGCATCGTGAAAACATTACGGGATGTTAAGATTACAAAACCAAACCTATGTTCGTATTATTGCTCCAAAACAATGTAAAATTGTTTATAAAAATTTTTATGTGTTAGCATCGTTAGCATCATCATCATAAGTAGCTCGACAACCCTTTCTGGATCCTGGCTTGTTCTAGAATTTTCCGCCATTCTGTTCTGTTCTTTGCTTTGTTTTACCAGTTGGTAATCTTAAGTGTTTTCAGATCTTGTTCCACTTGTTCCATGTATCTAAGTTTGGGTCTTCCCTTTGACCTTCTCCCTACTGGTACTTGTCTCATTATATATTTTGGCATTTCAGTCTCCAACATTCGTTCAACATGGCCTATCCAGCGCAGACGTCCGATCTTTATGGATGCTATGATCTCGGTTCATTGTATGCTGTGTATAGTTCAAAATTATATCTTCTGCGCCATCTGTCATTTTCCTTTACCCCCTTATATACTTGTCTAAATTTTTTTCGTTCAAATGTACCTAATAGGTTCTCATCGCTTTTCGACAGTGTCCGTCTCTGATCCATATAAAAGGACCGGTTTTATCAGGGTCTTGTATATTTTGCATTTGGTTTTGTGATGTTAGATCTTAGATGTTTAATCAGTCTATTTGTGTTAGCATGCCATGGCCAATAAGACCTAAGCAGCGAAAATATGTCTGTTTGATTTTTCTAGATGTTTAAGCGAGAGTCTCAGTAACATTTGATTAAAAACGAGTCATTAATAGAATGAAATACCTATTTTACAACTTTTTTGCCTGATAGTATTTGTTTGTAAAATCATTAATTTGGAAGATACAGCCACTTTTCAAAAAAAAAGTATCAGTTTAAAATAAGGGTGTCATTATTTAAATATTGATCTTGTAGCAACAATCACCGAAAATAGCTGAATTTTTTTCAATACTTTTTTCCTAATAAGAAGTTTTCAGTTTTTTTTTCTTGAAAGATTATTAAAAAACGATTCATTTGAAACTTACTAAATTAAATTTGGTTGATAATTTATTTAAAAAATTGCGAAAACTGTAGAAAAACGCGGTTGTTTCCGTCACATCAGAACACTTTATAAAATCTCATTTTGTTCGTCTTTATCTCAGAATTCTGTCTCCGGCTTCTATAATATAAAAATGTAGCTTCTCCAATTTAAATTTTAAAGTGTTTGTTTGTCTTTAGTGTATTTGTTATGTCCCAGTTTACATGTATGACATTCGTTATTGCTGGATAGGCCACAATTGACGAAATGCCCCTGAGGATGATCTTGTGATCGAAAGTACTTGGGCAAGATTTAATTAAATACTGTGTTCGATATTTGCCTTGTGTACCATCAAAGTTCATTTATTCGAACATTCAACCTTATATTGATTGAAAAAAAGTTTTGTAGTGCTATTGCAATGTAAGAATTTTTATAATCATTAACATACTCAATTAACTAAAACTACGTGATTAAATTTATTGAAAATACTTTTTTTATATTTGTTTATAAAAAAATTTTAAATACAAAAACAAAATTATACTATTCTATTGATATGAACTGCATTCCTAAATTCCTCAATTAACAATAATGTGTAAGTTTTTTTTATTTTAATTTTTTGTAAAATTCTTTAACCACTGTTTATACTTCTATAATTTTTTATTAGGGTCGAGCATGATCCTGCAAAAACCACATATAGGGAAGTAACCATTTTTTCAAGACACTCTTTGATACAGGTATTTATATACAGGTAAATGTTATTTTGTTACTTATAAACAATATATAAACAATGTAAGATCGCTATTAATTTGATGAAGAATGGCAAATTATATGAAAAAGTGTCACAATTTAACTTAAAAAGCATTGAAATCCTTTGAAATGAGAGTTTAGTATGATTTTTGTTAATTTAACGCTTAATTATTCCAAAAATGGTTTCAAAAGTCGATTTTTTGAAAATAATTAATAACTTTTCTAAAAATGCACAAAAAACTTTGATTTTACGTGAAAATGGGACATTATGTGGCAATTTTTTCATTTAAAAACTGTAATTGTCCATTTTCAATCAAATTAATTTAAACAAAACTTTAGTTTACATTAACTGTCAAGATAAATCTCCCAACAAAAAAGTGGCTGTATCTTCTAAATTAATAATTTTACAAACAAAAAAAATATATAAAATAGGTATTTCATTCCAATGACATCCCGTTTTTAATTCGATAATATACTAGAAAAAATTTTCGGGGAGAAAAGATGTGGTAATCCCCTCTAAATATCTAGAAAAATCGAGAAAAAAATATTTTCGCTACCTCGGTTTTATTGGCCACGGCATGCTAAGACATAATGTAAATTTTGATATAAAAATTTTAAATCGTTTTGGAGCAATATTCAAAAATTTGGTTTAACACCCTTCAATTTTTTCTTTGTGAACTTTTGCATATAGGTAAGTTAGGCCAAATCGCCTTATTTTCATTCCTAAAAATCGTAGTATAATTTATGATCAATATTTTCGTGACACCCTGTATAATAAGCATTCGTAGTAAACCAAACAAAATACAAACCATTGTGATTTACCATAGTCAGGTAAATCGTACAATAGAATACTTTCGTTCTTTTTACAGTATTTTTTGTCAATTTTCTAACGACTATCTATGGGTCACAAATCGTCTGCAATGTCATTCATCGATTGTTCTGCTCTGCGGCTCATTCTTCTTGATTCGGTCTACTCTTCTACTTTGTAAGTACATATGATTATTTTTTCTATCGATATCGATTTGTCCTCTGCCTTCAGTGCAAGTCAAAATATCTTCCTTAAAATTTTACGTTTAAGGATTCTCGTGGTTCACATATTATTCCCGCACATCCAATTTCTGGTAAATAGACACTTTACACGACCGAATTCATTTTATTGATTAAATAATGAACCAATAAGGCTATTTATAGATTGAAGAATAATTTGTATAATGAAAAAATACTTGGATATGAACATAGGTGACGATGATTTATATCATCATTAATTCAGGTACCATTCTCAATTAATATGTGTTTCTAGTTAGAGTGTAACGTGTTGTACAAAATATAACTTAAGGTACTTAGACCAATCATTAAATATATATTTATTATTACTTTTGTATTTACGATAGCAACATAAATGAAAACAATGTTGTATAAAAATGTAGGAATCATTTATTATAAGTATTGGTCAAAGTACCTTGACCTTGACATAATATTCTACTATAAAGTACTTAAAAATGCTCAGATACGTTACCACAGGATATTTAGAAAAGGGTTTTGAATAAACATTTACACTAAGTCTAAAACGGTATGACAAAAATATCAAATGATATCATAGGTTTCTTTAATAATAATTTCTCTTATATTTAGAAAAAAATATTTATTAAAAATATCTTATTTTGGTCATCTATTGAGAGGAAAAAATAATATATAAAATTAGAGAATAAAAGAATAGATGCTTTTCACTTTAGAAGTCCCTAAAGCATTAGCCATCAGATAATCTTCATAAGTACTCACTGAAGAAAATTTGACAAAATAACAGATTTTCTATATGCAGGTTCGCTGTTAGGTATAAACAAAGCAAGCTGTCATTTCAGGTTAGTAGAAAAACTACCAAGAACAGCATAGTTGAAACGTGACCTTCAAAATTGATTGCATGGATGACAACAATAGTGAATATACGTCGCCAGATTTGTTGTACTAAAACTATACAAAAATGAAAATTATCTAGACACGTCAAACGACAAAATGATGACAGTTCTAATAATATATATATATATATATATATATATATATATATATATATATATATTAAAGACAGAGGATTCATATCTAAAAACGAAAAGTGAAGATCGCAATTTAAGTTGTCAAATCAGTCAAACAACATATCTAGACGGGATCTGTTTTGGATTGGACATTTTCCATAGGAAGCTATTTTTTTGCTGGAATCCCTTCAGGATGTCCCCAATATCGATAATCACGATATGCGTCAGTCGCAAACCCTGTGCTAAATTTTTTATTTAACAAAATCTGAAAACAAATGAAAATTTCTCATTTTTTTGCTCCTATTTTCGTTTATAATTTG